AAATAAACATGTTGGGACATTAACACGCAGCACCATCTAGTTCTATAAGCTACGAGGCTTGTGTTATGGATACCAGATAGTTGATACACTACACAAAACACATATACTAACTTTAAATACATACATATTATAAATATATAAACATTACATTCGTGCTCATCACACAAATGAATGCCACCAGCGGGACTCGAACCCGCGACCACTTAACACACACTTACACTTAACGCGACACAGCAAGTAGGATCACTACAAATTGAACCAAACATGTAGTCAGTTGATTGTTGTTGTTGTATGACATCAATCATTTTGATTAGTACATGAGAATATCGGGATTTGAAACCACTTCACTTAGTTTTCTAAACGAACGCGTTACCACTGAGCTACCACAGTTTATAAATATGAGAAAGCGACCTCATTATGTACCTATCCATAAATTTTGCGAGAGATAATGATTATGAATCAAAACATTCTAAAGTGTGTAAATAAGACGTTGCAATAAAAATGTTTGAGCATTATGCATTGCATAACAATGTTTTATGACCGCAGGAAATTGCGATCCATATAGAGCTTGGCAAAAACTGATTCTAAATCTTAAGAGAATAAAATAAAGTGGAATGAGTTTTTAAAGGTCGTGACTTATGACTGTAGATTATATTTAGGCACATTAAGACTATATGAGAAGTAATCTATACATATAATAAAATTCTAACTGAGCCGAAACTGTACATGAAATATTTTTTGGAAAATCTTATTGAAATAATTATCGATACAGAGGCCGAATCTATAGTTTTTAGAATTTTTGTCTGTGTGTCTCTCTGTCTATCTGTCTGTCTGTTAGCGCATCACAGAAAAACCACTGGACGGATTTTGATGAAATTTGGTATGATGATAGCTGGTTATCCGGATCAACATACTCGTATATAGGATAATTTTTATTGCCAGAAAATATCTCATTTTTGAGAAATCTATACTAAACGTTAAAACGTAAGTAGGGACGAACCCGAGCGGAGCGAGGGTGAGTCACTAGTGTAAGATATAATGCAATGTTTCCTTAAAAATAATTTATTTTTATAATTAAGACTAACGATTTACCCTCGCTTCGTTCGGGTGCGTCCGGATTTTGTTCAGAACTTCGTGGGCTTTAATTTTTTTGCGCGGACTCCTGATTATTTTTTACAATAAAAGTAGCCTAAGTTACTCATCAGCTATTTGCCAGTGATAATTTGGATTTGAAATATTTATTTTTTCACCTTAATTTGTCTTAATATTGAAAAAGCACCCTAATTTTTTATCGAAAATTCAGCCGTCAAAATATCAGATTTTTTAAAAAAGTTGGTGTGCTTTTTGTTCGTTGAAATCTCTACTTTTCGATGGTGTAAAAATATATATATTACTATGGTAAATTTTCTCAGAAAATGCAAGCCCTCGACCCGGGTCTAAATATAAGCAAATCTTTATAATATTTAATTTAACTTCAAAATAAGGTAAAGAGGCAAAGATGATGCTTTTAACGTATGCTTATATTGGTCATATAAAGATACAATATGGTGACCCGGTTAAGATGGATTCTACAATTATTTTATTCTATTCGCTGACTAAAACAGTATACGAGGGGATAGTAAACAACTTGTTTCTATGCCAATAATTTATCCAAGTTTATTTCTCATAGAAAGATAGAAGAAAAATATTCAGTCATCAGTTTTAGGTTGAAGACCACATATTCTAACAAGACTTGGATACGGTAAGTCAGAATTCTTTAAAAAGTGTAAATCACAGTATCCATAGACGATAAATTAATCAAAAATGGTATATTTGAGTAAGTAGTCCTATAAACTGCTGTCGTTAGTTCCAAAAATAGCCACTAGGGAAACGTTTTAATACTGCCAATACAATCAAAAGCTCCAGCTTTATTTCGCAAAATATCGTACATACATGTGTATCTTAGGACTTATCCCTGTCTGTTTTTGTAACATGTATAGTAAGAAGTGTTTATTTGATGTCAATAGTCCATTCTTATATCATTTACATCATATGTTCTGTAAGGCCTAAGGCCTCTATTACCAGTCATGCGTGAATGCAGTGTGTTACAGACCAAAACAAATTGTAGTCAAGGGACTTTGATCTCTATTACATAGTAAAGTGGATATGGTGTCTAGCATTATGAGGTACATGAACGTCCTTGATCGTGGTTCATGTATTTATAAGTATGTAGATAATATTTATAAGTATGTAGATAATATAATAAAAATGTCTAACGAGAATATTATCAGTGCTGAAGAAAAATTTGTCCAACAAAATGTTTGATTAAAAGACATGTGTATAAATAGCGTATAGAAAAGGCATTCTTACACTTAATTGTTTTTATTGGAAGATTATAAAGTTACCCATTTTCAAAGTTATTGCAATATTTGTTTAGGTCGAGCATTAGAATTTGTAGATTTCGTCGTAAAATGTATGTACATATACATATGTACGTGCATTCATATAAACTACAGTATTACTACAGTATACAAGGTTATATTCAATTCAGTCGACAAATTATTAGAGAAATTTTAGTAGTTCATTGAGCAAAGCATTGGTATTATTTAGTCGCGGAATACTTTGCTGATGCAAATATGTAGGATTACTGTTAGTTGATACTTATGTAGAAAAGAACATAATTATTGTATTGATACATTGTAAATTACTATATTTAAAAAGAGCAACTGTTGAGTTTCTCGCCGGCTCTTCTCAATAGAACTGCCTTCCGAGCCGGTGGTAGACTCTTCACGGTGACGGACTTACACACTGACATTTCATTTAAGTTTAAAATGTAAACTTGACAATTCAAAAGTGCTTGTCAAAGTCTATTAGAACAAAGCATATTTTATCAATAGCACTATCAATTCAAGGTGTTAATTAAGTAAAATAAATAAGTTAAAAATGAAATTTAAAAAACAATGGTTAGAAGCAGTACGAGATACAAAGCCTACGAGAATTATCTATAATATAGAATAGTTGTTAAATAGATATAAAAACCCAACAATGTCCTTCTTGAATTAGAATACATATTATATTTTAGCTGGGAACAAAGAAAAAGAGACCTTATTATATTCAGAGAAACATGTAATTAAAACGGTAACATAATTTACAGCGAAGATACAAAAGTATACCAAAATAGAAAGTAAAGAATTAAAAAACACCTTGTAAAGTTATGAAATAATCATTTTGGAATAAAAATTATTATTAATTCTCGTTCTCAAGGAAGTTATGTGATCAGCAAACAATCAGAAGCGCAAGAGACAAAACAAAAGATGGCAATACCTGTGAACTGATACAAGGAACGGTTATAACTGTAGCCTGCATTTTATGTAAGTATAGTAGAACATTCATGTGTTCAATCTATGGGGAAAATGTTATAAATATTACTTTATACAAGCTTTTATTAACAAAAATAATATATTTGTGACTATCCCACTCTTAGAAAAGTATTATTTGTATATTTTTTTATATTTGGTCCTATATTATATTTTATTTTTAATCTATTAAAAAAACGATACACAAATGGCTAATATATATGTAAACATTCTAAAAAAATTAACGAATATCATTTTACAGACAGAGCTTGCCCCCACTAATTAGAGAATATTAATCGTTCATCCCACAAACGAACAATATTTTTATATATACATATATTTGTAATCACGTTTTCGAAAACGACTCTAAAGATTTCGATGAAATTTTCAACGTAGGGGTTTGCGGGGGCGAAAAGTCAACCTAGACAGGTCTTATACCTGGAAAAAATCATTTGCTCAGTATTTTTACACAAAAAGATTTACCCGCGTAATATGTAAATCAACTGTTGTATTTATGTAAGGTTTTGCTTTTTAACTTTATTTATATATGTAGGTGAATTTTCTGAAAAAGTCCAATTTTATATCTTTTCTGAAGAACAAAAACGCCGAACAAAGCTCTACGAACTATGTATTTATAATAGAAAATTAATGATTTAAAATTCTTGCATAGAAGAGGAATAGGTACATATTATCTTATTTTATATTTGGGATCGTTGAGATACAACTTGTTCATTATATGAAAATTATGAAAATCGACCTATTACTAGCGAAGATATTGCGTAACATACCTACACATATTTTTTTTGAAGTCGGTTCAAAATACATAATACATATGTGGAAATTATAATCTTTCTAAATGAGTTAATATTTAAAGATATCATGGTTAGTATTATATTGGCGACAGAATGTCATATTAAAGCCCTCTTGCGCTACATTTTTAAATAGGAAGTTAGAATTTTCATCCCTTATTGGCCAAAAAGGATATTTATCTATAAAATATTTTTTTATTTGTATATAATATTAATATCAAGGATAAGAAGTCTATCAATTACATAAAACAAATAAAATTTAAATAATGTGCGAATTTAGCTTTCAAAACAAGTTTCTATCAAAATATCTCTCTCATTTAGATATTTTTGTTTTTGTTTATTAAATAAATATACACTAGCTATTTGTTATTAATTATCAGTAAAGAATGTTAATACAAAATCTATATAACAGAGCTGTCCTTTGGATGATTTTAATTTTTAAGTAACAGACGCAGGCTCACACGGAGTCGACGACCTAACAGACGATTGTTATCAAAGGAATCACAATGCAATTAACTCGAATGCTTCCCGCAGTTGCTTCCTCGAAAACCTCAATTTGAAACATATTTATATAATCGGCTACCGCGATCATCTCGCTGTACGCGTTCTAAAATGGCAAGACCTCATTCTAAATCTTGCAAAAACTATGTCAGATATATAATAAAATATTTATGTAACGTATTTTTCTGCATAACAATGTATTTGTACTGGTGCTTCCTGGATTCACAATTAAGCATTAACAATCTTAAGTCACACAGTAACGGTAGATTAGAATTCATTAAGTTAATATTATGGTTGGAATGGAGGTCAGAACGACTAATAACTAGATATTTTTAAATGAATGAGAACAGCTTACCGTTTGCGCCAGTCTTGGATGAAACTCCAGTCGCACTGATCATCCTGATCCAACACGGTAGCCTCGTTTTGGTCCACTCGACCATTGCCATGAACAAGCTCAACCAGTTGACGAGCTCTTTCAAAGTTTCCTTCAAATTCTACTACTAAGAACCCATCGGGGCTCGTGGATTCGAAAGTATCTTTTTTGTATGTCCCATCATTGATGACCACTTCATCCTCTTTCACATCTTCAGTTTTGATTTCGGAATAAATAGCCTCTGGTACTTCTATTTCAGATATCAGCTGCGTTCCTCCTTTATCAACGTCATTGTTTTGATCATAGTTTTCTGCGCTAGTTATCTCTCTATTAACATATATTGCTTCTTCTTTTTGCATTTCCTTCTGTTTATCTTCTTCTTTCTTCTGTTCACTATGCTTTCGAATTATGGAATCTCCGAAATATATAACGACTTTATTGTTATTTTGTGTTATTTTATTGGCCAATCCACCTTCGGTGAGAGGTATATTAGCTTTTCTACTTCTTTCATGAGACAGCCTTTCAGCTAACTCATCATAGCAAGGAGGGCGATTGTTATATATCTTTTTATCCGCAGCTTCTTTATTCGCTGCAATTTTCTTCTCAACGCTTTGATAAACAGGTGGGCGGCAACAGTCGTCTTGAGTGCTCCATTGCTTAGGTTCACTGTAAATATGCTCTGGTGGTGACGCTGCTCGTTGCAACGGTATATATTTTTCGTGAACATTTTTGGAACTAGGCGTATCATTTTTCCTGAAATTCAAAACACTTCTCCTGACGTCCTGATCACTAATATTTTTTTTAGATCGTGAATTTCCAAGTAATTTGAAAATAGGTTTATGTTCGATTTGCTTGACACGATCTGTGCTGGGCGATTTGCGCATTGCAAAGGGCCCTTCGTCTGACTGTTGATACAACTGTTCGCAACTAGTAGACTTATGCGGCGACACGCGTGTTTTGGCTGGCGAGATTGGTTCCCTGCTTTGCCAGTGTCGCACTGACATCCTCGCGGCACCTCGTATAAACTTCATAGGCTCCCAGGCCTCCGCCTTCTTTAGAATGAAGTTGTCGCACATGTTATGTTTAGGCTTACGTGTATCAGCGCGGCAAGATTGTAGCTCTCTGCAAAGGAAGCAAGAGCAACGCGCCGGACACAGCATGACTGTTCGAGCGCACCGGCCGCACTGCAGACACCGTCACTCTAAGAAGCATTGTTAACCCCGCTACCAACGCACCAACGCTAACATGTTAGCGATACCGTTCAAACTTGATCTATTTCTTATAACACGAAAGTGCGTTCATAAATATTACCGCAACAATTATTAAAGTTATATTTTCACGATTTGTTTCGGAGTTTGTATAAATTTAAGTCACTTTTGTTTATTGCATTATATGGAAATGTGAAAAATGCTGATATTTTTCCATAGCACACCTAATACTCCATGAGAATATAAAATAATATGTAAAGCAAGCGAAAAGTAGAACGCAATATTAATAATTAATTATTATAACAGCGTTTAATTTTGGAAATCAGCACAAATAAATGCTAAATCACTAATTTCGGTTTGATTGCATCAATGAGCGCCTCTGCACATTATCAATAGCGGTATGCACATTAAATCCTTTGCATTGCGCCCGGGGTGAATGAAACCATAAGTATTACTAAATATAGAGTACTTGAAAACGGTCTCTATTTTCATGTCCGGTCGATAATATCTCGAACGATAGTAATAAAATATTAAAACGTGAATTAATAATAAAGATTTTATGGGATTTTAATGTGCTCTTGTGTACGCACGACGCAAATAATTGTCACTTATCTCAAAAGAGGCGGCACGTTATAACGAAAACTAGCGTGTAATGTAAATGTACGCGATAGTAATACGAAACTATACAAATAAAGGTTTTGATGATTTACCAAAATTATTTACTGCTCAAATATTTTTTTATTTCTGTTAAATGAGTAGGTCGCAAATTCTATTCCCGCAAATTGGTAAAATGTTTACCGTTTATACTAATTACCATATAGTTTATGACCTTTTTTAGGTACACATCGGCTGAATTAATTATATGATACAAAAATATTTTTAAATCATTACAAACTGATTTATAAAACCTTTTTTGTGTCATTTAAGTTCCTTTCATTATATCACCAAATTAAATTTATTATTAATATTATTATAAAATTTAAATTGTAATACTTGATCCTTGGAAATGAACTGTTTATAAAAATTATAATCCGGTCTCTTAAATATAAATGATTCAAATAATATTCAACTTCCTTTGTAGTAAAGATAAAACTACAAGTATATGAATTAAAGTAAATTTTAAGTGAGTTTTAAATAAAACTATCTTTTCGGATTATTTCGCAGATTTATTTTGATTTTTGGTTCCCGACGTTTCGAATGTTTTACAGCAATCATGGTCACGGGAGAGACTATGACCTATGAGTGATAAAAAGTAGCCTATATGTTATTCTGATGTATGAGCTATATTGTAGTTTGATTAAAATTATTCAGAAATTTTTGCGTTAAAGAGTAACAAACATCCATACGTCTATACATCAAGACATCCATAAATTCTCACAAACTTTGGCATTTATAATATTAGTAGGATACCTATATGAAGCTACTTATTTGCTTTTCATTATTATGCACGGATTAAAGCATATTTACATAAAATATGAAAAAAATATTAAAATTACTTATAAATTTCTTTCCTTATTTTTTTTCAATGAATATGAAATATCGACACAAACATTATAATATGTAAATAAGTAAATATAAGTAATACAATAGAATAATACAATACAATAAAATAAGTAATACGTAAATATATATTTTTATATTTTAACTATTCAAAGTGATGTAAAACGAAAACCTCATTGTCACTCGTGAGTCAGTCTGTTTGTCCGTCACAGTCTATATATAATGTGTTTCTTAACTTTTATGAACTCAGGCATAATATTTAATTATATTTATACATAATACAATTTATAGCAATTACTATTAAGATTATTAAGAATAGGTGGTAAAATTAACGCGCCAAAACCTATATTTGAATATTTATAAAGTATTTTTTCACTTTTTAGTCGCTTGTTTTCAATTTTCAATCTGTAATATATAACAATTGAAATACAAAACTCATTATATACATAGAACATATATTATTATTTATTTCAACTGAAATTTCAGTAATATAAAGCTTTTACTAAAATCATAATTTTACTCTACAATTTGATAACTTTGGAAGAGATTGTAAAGAAATCATAGTCTTGTTTTCTCCATTCTACGTGACATTGACAAAGTTATTTGTGCTCAGTTGGCATACTTTGTAACCATTAACAAGAAAATTGAATTGAATTGTAAATAAATATTGTATAACTTGCATTAAATACAACACCAAAGAAAATATTGAATGCAAACGTGAACAATTAATGTAGAGTAAGAAAATCATCATTTTATTTTAGAAAGTGTTAACGCAACAACACTTACTTCCGCTGTTACAGTTCTACTGCTAATCGCTGGGGTCGTAAAGCAGGATATCACAGGCTCGTTAAAAACGACCATAAACACATATTTGTAGTTTCATACAATCGTTACTTGTTTTTTGGTAATCAACTTATATATACTTTTAAACAATTTAAGCCTGTTTGTGATTCTAAAACATCTATCCATATTAATTTGATAGTTTTAAGGGTGTTTGTAAGATATTCGTACCATAGCCTAAACTAAGCTACTAGGTGTTAGTGGTTAAATATATCTAAGCGTATGGCAGACTCTCCATTGATGAATGGCCTCTTTTCGCTATGCGTTGCCTTGGGGAAGAAGTTTTCATAGGGTAAAACGTAAAATAAATATGTTAGGACATTAACACACGTCACCATCTAGTTCCATGGTAAGCTACGAGGCCTGTGTTATGGATACCAGATAGTTGATACACTACACATACATAACTTTAAATATATACATATTATAAATATAAACATCCGTGACTGAGTACAAACATTCGTGCTAATCACACAAATGAATGCACCAAGTGGGACTCGAACCCGCGACCGCTGGCACAGCAAGTCGTCGAAAAAGTATTATGTCTTGATTGATTGATAACTTAGTTTTATTAATTTTTGTGTTCTGATTTTCTTACGGAAGATTTTATCAGGAGTGAGGTATTCTTTTTTTTATACTGTTGGTAGAGTTTTTGACAAGCAATAAGTGTATTTCTGAAATACTAATAGTCCAAAATCCGAGGGCCGCCAGACGTCACGTATTTTCTGACGAACGAAATGTGGACGATTGGATAGTGTTAGTATGTACTAAGATCGCATGCCTACCTGCTAGCTTGGTTAGACGGCCAATTTCCAGGTATCAGGTAATCAAGGTACGTAAAAACATTACTTACCTCACGTAATTAATTCTCCCAGCTAATTTTTACGTATATTTTAGACAATATCGTTAAAAATAAGTTGTCAATACTCCCAGACACTTTCCGTCGGCCATATTGCTTTGCAGACGCTTTAAAGGTCCCAAAATAATTACTTAACTTCACGTATATAACTAATGCTTCATTTTTATATATGTTCGCCAGACAACTATTTTAAAACCTTTTACAAGAAGACAGACCGATCCAAGGGGCCGATCATCACCTAAACTAAATTTTAATGCTGATTGCGCTGATGGGCATCAATTTAGCAGATATTTGATAATTTTTTGAACTTTTGTTTACAAATAAATTATGGCATGCGATCTTAGTACATAATAACACTACTCAATCGTCCCCATTTCGTTCGTCAGAAAATACATGACGTCTGGTGGCCCTAGGATCTTGCTCTTTAATATTGTATATTGAAATTTGAATTTGATTTAAATTACGATTACTAACTGCAAAAGATTCGTTAGATTCGTTAGTTCGAAGAAAACGATTTACTACTTTACATCCCACGTATATATTTCTCTCATATATAAATCAATGTCCATAAATATTAGATCTATATATAATGTATATATATATATATATATATATATATATATTCTTTGTTACACCAAATATAAAATATATTAATACTAGTAGAACGTGCGTTCAATCTACAAAAAAACTCTTGCTTTGTGTTATATAGCGACTCACCCTCCCTTCGCTCGGATTCGTCCCTATATATTTATGTATATAATATTAAATTATTTGGATATTATTCATACAAAAATACTAAAATCGCGATTAAAAATGGGAGGTGGGGGTAGGCGGGTGAAAAATACTTTACGATCTTTTCTCATATCTACCAACAAGCAAAATATACAAATATTAAATTTCATTATAATTATATTACAAATAAAATTCCAAATATACAAAAATAAAATTTCATTAAAATCAGTCGAGCCGTTTCGGAGGAGTGCGACCACAAACATCGTGACACGAGATATTTATATATTAAATTACAAGCACTATTCTTACGGATACTCTACCATCTAAAACTTATAGTTCAATAACCTCTTATTTAGCGTAGGAATTTTTACAATATAAGTAACTAGAAATGTAATTCATGACAATGCATATAACATTCTCAATACTCAGCCATCTTAATTTAAATAACCCATTCATTGCTTAACAATGGTTAAGTCGGTGTCCAAATTACAACAAATTATGGTACAATTAAAAAGTGTGGTAACTTTGACTTTCTGCGATAATTTGACTCAACGGTGACTTTCATTGCATAAAACACTCGCAGTATTGTTCATCATATTCCCATCCCAAGGTTGAGAGAAAGTGCAGCATCAAGTCGCTATTGTTAGAGATGTAATCCGAAAGTGTTTGTTTGCACGTTAGTAAGTTTCTCAGAAATGTATATGATCAAAACTATTCAGAAATTAATAATTACGTTTTTCGACAATTTCAAGAACGAGGCATTCAAGTAGGTTATACACGTGTATTGTTTATTACATAGTGTGTTGTTTACAGGATATCTCGAATATATTAATTCAACATCGGCGCAATGAACAGCCCGCTGTGCAGAGGGTGTTTTAGCATTAAAGAATCAGTCACTCACGTAGTCCTTTTTTTTTTTTTTTTTTTTTTTATGTCGGGAAATGCATTTACGCATACCACCTGATCCCCCAGGTGGTGATGTGGGGCTCACCGGCTAGAAGAGCCGGTACTACCCACTAAAACCCGACATTCCCCTCCCCTCCGCCTTAATGGGACGCCGCAGGATCGCTTGCGCATAACTACTACGGCGCCCCGGCGGCAGGTCTGCCTAAAAAGGCAGACCACCAAACCAATGGGGCTGCTCCACAGTCAACTCTGCTACGCCAGAGAGGTACCCGGAGCAGCCCCATTAAACCTAACCACCGCCCACCGAAGTGGGCCACCTCCAATCGGCTGCAGAGGACAGGGAGAGCGGCAACGAAACACCGACACTCCTCTTCCCCTGCAGCCCCACCGCGTCCGCCATCAAACGGTGGCGGCCCCGTCTAGGCCGCGGAAGGTAGGGAGAACGGCGCACCGAAATACCGGCACTCCTCTCCCGCCGCGGCCTACTCCTCCGCCGGATGCGGGCCTGCGACCACAGTCCCGCAACCGGCACCCATCATCCGGTTGTGGGACCAAGCGGTCCCACCACCGGTGGCCGCAACGTCTTCGGCTCGAGTCCTAGACGAGCGGCCCCACCCAAGCCATTTGGTCCGCGCCGGATTTCTCCGGTACCACCCGCCGCCCTAAGCGGGTGGCATTCCCCTATCCGCCACCTGGGGACGCGCCCGGTAGGAGTTGGCTTCTCCCCCGGGAAAGTAGTCCTGGAATGTGTAGTGGTAACTTCTCAAGATAATGAAATCCTCAAATCAAATCAAATCAACCACTTTATTGCGAACTTGGGTTAGTACATACATTTAGATTTTGATAATAATATATTTAATGTTCAGCCAAAGTCAGCCTTACAGCATGCAATATTTCAATAATTAAAATAAACATACAAACGTTAACATACATTACATAATAACATATTATTCAGTATTATGTTCGACTTTGGACCAATAAGGTCGCCCCGCGAACCCTATGAGGTTCCCAGGAAACTTATGTGCTTTTGGACGGGGTTAGGCTTGCTGAACTAGCCAGGATTCGCAACATACAACGAAGCAAATGCGAGTCTATGTACGGAAAACAAGTCTAATTTACATTATATTACAAGATATATCGCCCATTATAGGTTATACTTTTAGGATGGGTTCATTAAAATTCAAGAAAAAACTTCTATCTAAAAAGTGAAATAATAATTAATTTATTTTAAAGACATTGTGAAGTTGGTGTAACTTTTTAGTGATTATTTTTAATTTTCTAGCTTAGACTAGCTACAGATTAAAATATCTTTTCGTTTTATATTTTTTCAAAAGTTCTGACCTGAAAGAATTTGTGTTTATTGTTTGTTTAATCGAGCTTCATTTAAAATAGCTAGTACTTAGCTATATTAATTTAAATATAAATTTATGTATAAATGTACAGTTAATACTCTGAAATGAAGAGACTGTTCAGTTGTATTTTGATCGTTCGAGGTAGTTACATATAAAGTAAACATAATTTATTATTTATTTTAAGACTAGCGGACCCGACAGACTTTTTTCTGTCTAAGTTTCAATAAACGTGCTTGTGATCTTTATGTTCACAAGAAAACTCTATGTATAGCAAAGAGTACTTTTAGTTTTTATTAAATTTTTGGCCATCTTTTTTAATATTTTCCCAAAAATTGTTATTTAAAAGAAAGTTGCTAAGGCTGTGCAGCACTAACTAAGCGTTTATCAAGAAAAAGTATTTCATATTTATTTATATGGATATACTTAATACTATGACAACAATCTCTGGCATACTTACTGAAGTCACGGGTTCAATCCCACGCGAAGCGAATATTATATCGCGGTTAAATCAAAGCGCGACATTGTTTTTTCAGTTTGCGGCGAACGAAATAAGAAATCATTAAATCTACATCTACAAACTGTGAAAGTTAAAAAAAAATAACACTTACAAAAAAGGTCTGAAGAGTAATAAAAATGTCAAAATTCAAAAGTACCTACACTTGCAGAAAAACAACCGCGTTATAAGAATGCAATATCTGAAACGGGTTCTAAGTACATTATATTATAGTCATTTGTGATGAGACCAACTCAAAAACTCCAAACAGGATTTATCGGCTCCCAGGAATCTCACCACTGCTCGCTCCTTAAAAATAAATGCTAATAAATTGTTCAATAATAACTGCGTACAATCATATATACATTTATAAGCAGCAAAAAAATAACCCTGCGCTGGTAAAAACAGCGGCATATTTGACAGAACAGATACTAGTTTCCCGCCCTTACTTTCCTCAGGACGCATTCATCGCAATGTTTAGTATATTTCTATGAAAACTAAGGAAAACATTGTAATTTTCCGACTCATAAACTATCTCTTTGCATAAAGTTACATCAATTGTAGTACTGTGTGAAAGTAGGAAAATAAACATATTTTCCCATATGTAACACTAATTGTTGGCTAACAGCTGTTAAAATTCTTGTTGAATTTCTATTTTGGCCATAAACATGGCTTACGAGTTATGATGTATAATAAGCAAACGTGTACATTTGAATGTAACTTGTCGATCCAAACAAAAGTCAGTAATGTTTTATAAATTTACGTTTTACAATAATAATTTTATAATAAACAACATGCTTTTGGGCAACTACTGCGTTGGACTCGTTGAACGAACCAAAGGAACCCTTGAACTTGAAGGTTTTACTCGTAGCTATTGAAGGGTTCTATCCGTCCACTTCTTGCCCCCATCATAAGCTTTACAGTATCTAATTATGTCCGCTCGGGTTCGTCCGTAGGAACGTTTCAACGATTTGAATAAATTTCTCAGAGATGAGATATTTCCCACAGTAAAAAGTACCCTATATGTTGACTCGGATAACCAACTATCATCATACCAAATTTCATCAAAATTTGTCTAGTGGTTTTCTCGTGATGCGTTCCCAGGCAGACAGACAGACAAAAATTCTAAAAACTACAGATTCGACTCAGTTAGAATTTTATTATTTACTAGCATTGCCCGCGGCTCCGACCGCGTTCAGATGACCAAAAGCCAAATTCTTAGGTCTTACATATTAGTATACTCCTATTCTTAAATTGCAGTTTTTCTATTTTTTCTCAGAAATGGGATATTTTCCCGGGGTAAAAAGTATCCTATATGTTGACCCGGATAACCAGCTATCACCATACCAAATTTCATCAAAATCCCTCCAGTGGTTTTTCTGTGATGCGCTATCAAACAGACAGACAGACAAAAATTCTAAAATCCATAGATTCAGGCTCTGTATCGATAATAATGTTTATTTCAATAAGATTTTCCAAAAAATATTTAATGTACAGATTCGGCTTAGTTACAATTTTATTATATGTATAGATTGATATGTCATTTACAATGTACATAGCTGCGGTACGTAGCTAATAATTTAAACCCTTCGTAAAGTAACCTTAATGACTATTGATGTTATTTTATATAAATATGTATACCTCAGTATTAGCGCATGTACCAACTTTAGTCATTTAAATATAACTTTGTACAAACATATACTTTTAAAGCAAAATATCGTTCTCGTCCCTCTGAGTTAAAAGATAAATTCATTATTTTTGATACAACAGTTATTTGCAAGATGGATTTTTCTTAAATACGGCTATTAAGCAGCAGTATTAACACAAATTTAATCTTATTACAGGCGTCAGGAGTCCTTACGTTATCGCGCCTCGAGACAAATCTTCGCTAATTGGCGGCAGGCGGCGCGTCGCCGCCACTCGCCTCTTTTTGACACTGATGATGGCTTTTTAAAAGCAATTAAAATACGTTTTGGAAGGATTCAAGGAAATGGCTTTGATATCTCTTGATAAAATTAGAATGTTAAAACTCGTCGTAGATATCGCAAATGTATGGAGACTATTTTTTTTTTGGTACATTTATGTGCATAGTTGTTTGTTTTATGTTCAAGGAATTCGTTTTAGTTCCTGTAATTATTACTACATCTATAGTAATATTATAAAGAGGTAAAGTTTGTAAATTGTGAGTTTATGAGAGATTGATGAGAGAGATGAGAGATTACCCCCTACAACGTGTAGAAATTGTAAAAATTATTCTTTCTGAAAATTTCCGTAACATTAAAAAGCAGCGCAAAGGGTTGTTCACCAGTTGTTTATGAATAAAACTAATTCTTTAAAATACTTGTTATTCAGAGACTTAAGTAAACATTACTGCAAAGAGTTTTAAACTTGTTCAGGTAAACATATAAAGTACATACATATTTATATATTTATACCCTAGTTGATTCCTCTTACATATTCTCAAAATTTCTTTTAAATACAGTTTCTTTTATAATAATTATGAAATCAATTTGTATGTGTATGGGATTTTAATATATTCCAATTATCACTACACAAAATATAAAAAAAATACTAGGTAATAACAACTAGCAACCAACTTATATTTATTACATAATAATATAGACATAATAAAAATCAAACAAGTATGATGATTTCGGGGAAATAGAAAAAAACGGGTATAGAAGAAAGTAAAATAATATAATAATATTCCACTTAACTCCATAACAACCCTATTTTAACTCACTCACGCATAGCAAATGAAATTTCTCATAATATTTAGCTTGCCCGACCCTCACGGAGCTTAGACATTGTCGCTTGAGGTCAATAAATTAATTAGACCCTCTAATAAACTGCACAGCCTACTTTCCAAGTCACGAGCGTGTCACACTGCCGGCCGAGATGTATTATACCCCGTGATAAACACCGCGACAGTCTCACCGTCCAATAGATATACTGAAGGCACACAACCTTCATGACCTATTAGGGTTGCCAACATAAATGCTAATAAGATATCGTAATTATGTATATATTTATTCTATTATGGAACTATTTTAAAAGAAACCTAAGTAAACTTAGGTCAAATTATTCATATAATAATGAAAATTACAGTTATACTTAATTATACGTACAAAACGAATGCACACTTAATTATTACTGTACAAGTCATGTCCGCGTGTAATAGTGGCAAGAATGCTAGCCGAATTTCCCAGCTGAATGGCAATGCCGATTCTTTGGGCGAATAATGCGCCAGCTCTCCTGTCACCAGTAGAGGTGATAAGACGAGGTGTTATGTCTTTTAAGAAGTGCTTAGCACTTTGACTCCATGGTCCAAGGGTTTCTACAGCAAATGGTATAAAAACATAATTTTGACTAAGTGCCAAAACTAGGCCATTTACGACTCGACTCATTGGTGTCGTTTAGGGAACCAAATCAAATTAATAAAATGGTGAATGAAAAATGATGTTGTTTTTTCAGTATACATTAAAGAAAAATGCATACTGTACGTCTTTCAATAATATTTTCATTATATTCAATAGGTATGTAAATACATGAAATTTTCAAAAGAGTTTATGGAAGGAACCTTTGCATAAATCCTGAATTCGAAATACATACATATAGTAGTATCTCTATTATTACCCAACTGCGGTGAAGCTCAAAGGAGGGTTATGTTTCATCTATTAAAACGTAATTAAGGTGTTATATTGTATAAATAAGTGATAGAGAGTAAGAGTTCTCCAAAGCTTCCTCCGTCCGATTAAACAACGACAGCTTTGCTACATGCTATCAAATAAAGCCAGATAGTTACTTTCATATCATAATATTGTTATAGTATTCTCATTAAATTCACTAGGCGTATATCTAATGTATATTAGAAATGAATATCTGTTCTTTACTATTATTTATTATATTTATTATAAAACCCCTTACTACATCGTAACATTTTCAACCCTGAAACCCATAACAATTTACATCCCACAAATATATGGAAGTTAGATTCCGCACTTTCGACCTCGTTAAACATTTATACGTTGGCAAAGGCAAGAGATGGTAAGGCATTTTCCATAGGAATGTGATATGCTGAATATGTGTTACGTAGACATGGCTATCGATCAAGTACCGATCAATCTAAATTGTTCGACGGGTAAAATTTATTCGTGTTAAAATTCCTTATAAATAATTGGCAATAATTTTTGCCGTTCCGGATTTCAATTACTGACAGTCTATGACCGCAAAAGAATATAGATGGATAGAGAATCTCTGTGATATGTAACCCTAGGGTACCCTATGAAAAGTATCATTAATATAATCATTACATTGAGTTTTTTAGTAAGTATGGTAGAATATTTCACTAAAATATTTATGGATAATAATAGTAAGAAGGCAGTGGTAGCCCAGTGGTAACGCGCTCGTTTGGGAAACCGAGTAAAGTGGGTTCAAATCCCGGGTCTCGCACCTTCGATATTTTCATGTGCGAATCATTTCCAATATGATTACCACTTGTCTTAAGGGTGAAGGAAAACCTCGTGAGGAAACCTGCATGTCTGAGAGAACCTAGCAAGTTTTCAAAAGACATGTGAATTCTGCCCCGCACTTGGCCAGCGTGGTGGACTCTGGCCTGATCCTCCTCGTATTTAAGGGAGGCTCACGTCCAGCAGTGGGACGTTAAACAGAGCTAAATACAATTATAAAAGTAAAAAATCGAAGTAAAAAACTACTAATATGAATGTTTTTTACTTTTCCACTCCAAAACGGCTGGACGGATTTGGATGTAATAAAGTAGGTAATTGACGACTACTACACAGATGACTAAAATCTTTTTTAACGTTGGGAAATGCATATACGGATATTCAATATAACTCCGTGACCTGGAATAACACATACGCTACTGTTAGGTGCCTAAGCACGCACCCGAGTGAAGTAAGGGTAGTCGATAATAATAGATCATGAATCAAATGTGAAGTATTGAAAGAGCGTACCTTCTCGGCTTAGGTCTCAGTATCTCGTGGGGCGCGGGCTGGCGGCGCGGCCAGGCGGCGCAGGCGCACTCCGCCCGCTCGCCAGCCGCCACCGCCACCGCCGCCCCCTCGCCCAGCGTACGCACATCCTCACTGCAGACATACACTATATTAGCTTCTAGCGTTTTCCTGCAGATTTGCCAGTTCAGTACTAAGTAAAAAACTACTAATATGAATGTTACCACTAAAAAGTTTCATCGAAATTCGTTAATTAGTTTTTACGTGAAAGAGTAACAGACATATATGCATACATACATCCTCACAAACTTTCGCGTTTATAAGTTTATAAAGTTTATAATATTTGTAGGTAGTGTCGAAAATACCTTCTCGATAGGCGTAGATGAGGAGCTCATTTTCATAACCTGACCTTTCGTATGGAAATTGTCTTTTTGAGGGAAGTGAAGATAGTCTTCATTGAACCGAACTTTTTAAGGATGTTAGCTACTTTATCAGTTACAAATTACTTTTACTTATTATATCTTTACATATGGCAAAAAAATCGGTTGTCTATTCACCCTGCACTATGTGTAAATGGAAATTTCAGCAAGGTGTGTAGGTACTATGATATATTGAGTAATAATAACAATAATGTCCTCCTGACCGCTTTTGGCCACGGCGGCCAATCTCATTGAGACTAGCCAACTGCGCAGCAGATATTATAGTGCACAAGTGTACGCGCAGACTCAAGTGCACTCTCTATTCCTGTCACTCTCAAAATCCGATGGGACGATACTTCGACACGACCGGTGAGAGTTAAGGCGCAGGACAGACGCCGCCAACTTCCCAACTCTGGGCTGTTACTGAGATTTTTTGACAGAAAACCCAGTAATTATACTTGGCCCGACCGGGACTCGAACCCAGAACCTCCGGATCTGCGGCCGTACATGATAGCCACTAGACCACCGAGGTAGTTAAGTTTATTAACAACTATAGTAAAGAAAGAGTAAATAAAATAATGTATTTTATGCCCTAACAATGTGGATGTTGGTGATATTTAAAAAAAGAGAAAGTGTGAGTGTAGCGTTTTATATCTCTTACATTTTGCATGTGGGAACTAAATTAATTAACTATAATAATTGTAAAATTTAAAATTATGAATGATCATAGAAATTTCTTCGTGTGAATTGAAATATCTTTACAGCTAGATAAAGATATCTAAAAGCGACCAATAACCAGTTTGAGATAAAACAATAATTTGCATTGATAGAATCCTACGAGGTGCCGGGGGCAAGCCACTCTTAAATGGAGCCATTCAAGTCTAATCGTCATGCAGCAAACCTGACCGACTACATATTTATAAACCGTTTGCCAGTAACCGATATAGCAAATACGGGGACCTGTACTCCCTCGTATTACAGGATTGCGGAGTTGCAGCCCGATCTCTAACGTAATGTGTAACAATTCCAAGATAATTGCTATTGGGAATAACGTGTGTTTTCTTAGAAATATAGTAGACGATGCGAAGTATGACCGTCCTTCATCCATATGCTAGCTGGGTGAAAATTACTTAATATAAATATTTAAGGCATGCTGCCTATAAAATATGGTGAATACTTTACAATATTCTATACCTCAAGTAAAAATATAACATATACATTTATGTATAATTCTGATTATCTTTATATATTTATTTTTCTACTAGAAATATAACTAAAGGAACCGTTGCGACTGTCATTAATGAGCGTCTTTAAGTAGTCCAACTTTGCCACGTTTCCCATATATTGTCATTTTCACTATTATCAGTCAGAAGTGTACATATAATAAGGAAATATGTACTTAACAAAAAATAATAATAATTAAACCCTTAAAGTTTCTAACATACCTACCATTATCTTACGATAGGAAGTCATGAGTCGCAATGGTTCATAAAGTACATAGATATATCTCTGTTGACATAGTAAATATACAAAACTAGCGACTCACCCTCGCTCTGCTCGGGTTCGTCCCTAAATACGTTTTAACGCTTAGCAAGATTTCTCAGAGATGGGATATTTTCCCACAGTAAAAAGTACCCTATATGTTGACCCGGATAACCAGCTATCATCATACCACATCAAAATCTGTCCAGTGGTTTTTTCGCGATGGGATCACAGAGAGACAGAAAAAAATGTAAAAACTATAGATTCGGCCTCTGTATCGAGAATATCTATATCGATATAGTCTATTTTAATAAGATTTTCTAAAAAAATATTTAATTTACGCTCAGTTACAATTTTATTATACCTATGTATAAATTTAACAATAACAAAAAGGTTTTACTCTAAGCTATGTTAAAATATCGTTGTAAGATACAATTTACAACCATAATTATAACTATTTCACTTCGTAATCGGTTACGAATGTACACCTGGTTGGCGGCTACTGGTTTACACTTTAAGCTTTTGTAACAAATAAAACATACTTATTCATAAGAATATGAAATAATTCAGACTCGTTACTTGCAAAGTATATCCAATTTTGAAATTGCATAATGTGTAAATCTAGTTATTAGCGCAGTTATTAGTTTGTAGTTTTGTAGTTTTAATTAGGTACGATGTAAATCAGAAAAAGACAAGTTCCTTCCAAGAGAGACGACAGGTAGTCCGGTGCAGATTTTTCTGGTGTGATATAGGTACCTATATTAGTGACTGACTGAAAATTCATTCAAACCCCTTTATTATTTAACAGTTAGAAACTTTTTCTGCGCTGTATCAAACAGTATAATTTAACAAAAACACGTAATAGCGAAAGAGGTTTAAAAAAATCGTAGCACTTGGTACTGTACTATATATGTAATTGGAATTAAAAAATACTTAGTTAATTCAATGTCAAATTACATTTATAGATAGTTAATATAAATTTTAAATTACGAAGTCCAAAAATTATATTTATAATCAAAAGTTAACCAATCCTATAACGTATATAAATTCTTCTATTGCCAGTCATGAACCCATTACCCTTTAAAGGCAACACGTGTGCACAAAGGACTCGTTCTTTGCATTCGCGTTGCGCACCTAAAGAAATAGTCCTTGCAAATAATCTAGATATTCTAAATATATCTGTACAATATAAATATTGTTGAACTGTGGAGATACATACATAAATATGTATACTTATTTCTTACAGTTAGGATAACATTTATGGCTTCTCAATTAATGTGTACCATAATTTTTTTATGGTATAAAACCTAAAACCAATATAAAATTTAGTTAAACTATAAATAAATAATAGAAGAATATTAATTACTAGCATTACCCGCGGCTCCGCCTGCGTTCAGATGACCGAAAACCAAATTCTTAGGTTTTACATTGTTAGTATACCCTTACATTGCAGTTTTTGTATTTTTTCTCAGAAATGTGATATTTTCCCGCGATAAAAAGTATTGTATATGTAAACCCGGATAACCAGCTAGCAACATACCAAATTTTATCAAAATTCCTCTTTTTCCGTTTTCTGGGATGCGGTAACAGACAGACAGACAAAAGTTTTAAAACCTATAACATATTCGGGCTCTGTTTCGAAAATAATGTTTATTTCAATAAGATTTTACAAAAAAATTTTAATGTACAGATTCGGCTTAGTTACAATTTTATTATATGTATCTATAGATAAATGTTTTTAAAGGAATTTTAAGTATAAAAATTAATTATACTAATAAAAAATATGTGAATATGAATCCTTGCACACTTACGTCGCTAATTAATTTGATCTGATTGACCTAACAATCAACATTGTGATTTAAAATGCTTACTCTATACACGTACATATTATACTCGTATAACCTATAACTTATAGTCCGAAATACCATTTCAAATCAAGCTGAATTATTCTCGTGAGTAGCTATAATTTAACAAAAGACACAATTTTTTTCTCTACAAAAATTATTGATATATGGGAAAGTTTTAGTACTAAAAGTTAGTAATTCACTTCAATCTTAAAAGAACTCTATAAAGAAGGTACGTACTTGATAAATAATAAAATAATAAAACATATTGAGTTTAATATATGAGAATAAAAAATTAAAGTCTAACAATATGTTTCCAATGTACATTATTTTAAGAGAGAAAGCATTTAACGCGTGCAGCGATGCTCATCGAAGTTCGGGGTTCAATTCCTGGCATTGTTTATTGACACGCCACATTACACTGGGCTTGGCTTCCTTACACGCCTGTATTATTTTGTACTAGCCATCCTATCCAATCCTTAATTTTATTTGTGATTTTCCGATTAAGTTATATATAAGCAGTTTCAGTTTTTGCCATTTTTATTTGTATCTCTTACTCGAAAAACTAAAATTACTTATTTTCACACGTATAATTAAGCAACATTTATTTTTAATTTACTAACTTCAGCAAGAATTCATATTGTTATGTTAATGCTCAAACTGTCTTCCCCGCTAGAAACAAAACTATCAACAAAATAAGATATCGTCAAGAAAGTTGCTAGTCGTCTAATAAAGTAGCTACATAAATATTTTGTATTCTCAAGCTGTAATGAGGATCAAATTTTCCAGAAAAGTGGTTAAAGGCATTCATATAATGGTAATGATAATGACACCTAAGTCTCGAGGCAATTAGGCGTCGGAAGCTGGAATTACATGCGTTAGGGAGATGAGGAGGAGGAGGCTCATATAAGGAGGACCATTAAAACCGTCTTAAAAGAAAAGAGATTTTGTTTCTAAGGTTTTTAATTTTAATAACAAAATTATAATGTTACCTAAATATCACTGTATCTCTGAAACTTATAGATCAGTATGAAGTATAATATTGTATGCAACCTACAAGTATTTCGTTTCCGAAACAAAAAGTGCCACGAACGATTTAACTAATTAAGTACTTCCTGGCACTTTTTCTTTCGAAAGCTTTAGTGGCTCTTTTATACTGATATAAAGTAAGGATTTAAAAAATATAGTAAATAAAACTTTATATTATAATTTTTTAAATTAATTATAAATGTTATGTGCATTTAAAAGTTAATTATAATTTGTAATAATTTAAGACTATATATATATATATATATATATATATATATATATATATATATATATATATATATAAGCAATATATATATTGATTACTTTTGTCTTAAATTCAAAGAACAGAAATATAGATACATACATTTTAATAAAACATCACTAAAACAAAACCACACTAAAGTTGTTTCGTGTTAAAGTTAACACATGCAAAAATCGTTACACAGAAGCTCTTAAAAATTTCAAGCTTACAATTACTTGGATACGTAAAGAAAAACGTCTAATCCCTTCTCTCAAGCAAATTACAGTGTCGCGACAGCAATTTACCACCTGGTGATTGCTCTCTGACGCTCTCAACCGCTCAAATAAAAAGTACACTTTTGCTTTCCATGGGCTCTATCTTTAGACCCCGTATACACTGCAGACTTTCTATCAATCGATAATTCAATCTATTTCATAATATACATCACTCAATTAGCTTTTTACAAGCACTTTTAAATGATTTAAATCCAAATGAGATAGGGGTTTTAAATATAACTATCTTTTTGGACTTCTTCGCGGATTCATTTTGATTTTTGGTTTCCGGAGTTTCGTTTACAACAATCAAATATTAAATATTTACGTAAATCTAAAAATCTATCTATCAAGACATCTCTATATCTCTATCTCTATATAAATATAAATCGTCGAAGAAAATAAATCGTAAAAAATATATGGGTATGACATAATTTTTTTTATATTTTTACATTCCAGGGATTGTACAATAATATTTTGTTTAACCCCTTTTATTAGTATAGCTAATTAGTTAACAGAATGTGTCCCAATGGATATCAAAACGATTTCATATTGACCTATGAGAGACGGTTGGGCTCTTCATCATGTTTTGATCCCATCGACCCATTGAAGTGCAGTCTGCAAGGGCTTTTATTCCTTGC